TTTTGATGTTTTTTTAGTAGATTTATTTTAATGTTTGATTTACTTTTGTTATTTTATAATTTTTGTTTTTTTTTTTTACTTATTTAGAAACTGGTAATTGTTTACTGCTGTCCGTTGGTGGCTTGTTCGTCCGCGAGTCACTTAAGGGGCCAGTAGAATACCAGCGCAAGGCCCTGTCTTGCACATGCTGAACTGGTCCCATTTCACCGCAGACTTGGGACTCTAGTATGTAGGTGGTCCATAAAGTGTTTGTACAGAATCTTATGTGTCGCATGTTTTAGCGTGTGAAATAAAGCTTATTTTCTTTCTTTCTTTCTTTCTTTCAATTAAAGGTAGAAGTAAGAAGAATTAATAGCAGAAGAATTACTTACAAATAATTATAAAAGTACAATTCATCAAATGAATCATCATATCGATATCTCAGTGTCCCATCACTAGCCAACACGATGCGCGGACGCAGAGCACTGGAGCGTGCCGGGCACCGCTCCCACACAACCGAATATTCGTAACACCAGTGAAAATCGCAATTATAATATGTAATGTATTCACATCACTACCTATGTTCTCAAAACTTACATTGTAAGGCTAATAAACGGGCAATTTTTGTTTATTTTATGTGCACTAATCTCATAAATTGCTCGGGTCATTTGTATAAGTGTAGAGAGTGTCGTATATCGCGAATTTCTGTGACGTTGACTCGTTGCGTCATCACCGGACATCCACTGTTTAGTGGACAAATTGCATTTTTATTACCATTTGTCCGTTTGTCACTAAATCGCTCTTTGTGCGTGTGATGTTAATGTTTTTAATAACTTTAATGTTTCATATGTTTTAAGTGCATCTTGTGACTTTTTTCTAAATAATGCAATATTTTATTTTGTTTTATTCATAATTTTGCTTTAAAATTATTAAATAGTTGATCCTTCGTGATCATCAATTATAACTTCGATGCAAGATAATCGCTTTATCTTTGAATCTAAGTAAAAAACCATAACTTGTCACATAAAAGTTAAATGGTAAAGAAAAAATAGCAAAAAAAAAATCACCATATTTCATTTAAAGACTGAAGATTAATATCTACATAAGCGTAGTGTGATTATCTATTGGTTTTATGTGAGCTTTGGTATGTATCAGTGTGAGTATCGTAAATCTTCATTGTGTTAGGGTAAGAATATAATCGTGCTAATTTCCATACATATTTCTTTCTCCTTTCAAAATGTACTTATGTTTTTTTGAGTCATAACGATCATCTTATTACTGCTCCTGTCTGGATTGGGCGAAAAAGAGTGTCAACATCTTTCAAAATAAAACTATCCTTTTCCTTCGCCTGCCCCAAAAATTTTGGGGCAGAATGTCCACCGTCCACAGATCCGTGCTTAGGTGGCCTGAGATTGTCTTGCGATTTCCGACGCCTGGAGTGTTTCCTACGGCGGCTGAGGCGTAAAGAGGTTAGTTTCCTCAAAATGTATTGTATTGTAATTATTAAGCAAGGATAAAGTGGCATACATTTGTTATGACGGTTTCAAAATATAATGCAATCTAAAGTGTGAATGTTGGCGACGACATCTCGCGGGTGGCCTTAGTTGATGGTTACTTACTTAGGCCATGGTGCAAAGAATAAATTGTCAAGCCATCTCTTCTTTTTGCGAAGTGTTCATGCTCTCATAAAAAAAGGTGGAGTTTGAAGGAACTGTCCTCGTCACAACACCACAGACTGCCACAGATGGGACCCAAAGGGGCCTATATTCACTTGGGGTTGCGTGTAAAGTTCTGTGGCCCTGACTAGGAGCACAAACAAAATGGTTTTTACTCCTTCTCGCCCTACCTAGGATGGGACACGAGATTTAATGATTATCCCCTGACAAAGAAGCTATAAGTGCTTATTGTGTTTTGAAGCCACACAACGACCTCATAGTATTCAACATAATTATCAAATGTTCATCAGCCAGACGATGGGCTTTCTCAAAATTAGAGTATTTAGTCTCCATGCCTGACAGGCTTTTTATTGGGTATTTAAGATTAAACGTTTTTATCAGAGTGCGCTCTTTGAAGTCTTTGAAGCTCAGATTGCTGGTTCTCAGACTGGCAAAATTCTTGTGATACCGGCAGAAATAGTAACAAATTAAATCTAAATAACGTTAACTTATATAAAAAAAAAACCTTTTTACACTTCAACTTGACATAGTCCTCTTTATTTTTGGTATTTTCAAAAACACAGAACTTAACTGCTTTGCACATTAGCTGAGCAACGTAGGACAAGCTTTAGGACAAAGTATCGCGGGCTCAATTCCTGGACTGAGCAAGTTTTTCTGTTAATCAAAAATAGTTTTTCTGGGGCTCTGGTAATGATGTGTATGTGAAATTGTATGTTTGTAAACGCACCCACGACACAGGAGAAAATCTTAGGGTAGGGGCAAAGGTTGTGTCGATAACTAGATAAAACTAGATTATATTCAATCATTGTTTTAGTATACACATATCCTAATGCGCTAAGTCTCTAGAGATGGTTATCTCGACACATTGTGATAGCACCGAACGAGCTCCACTTACCGCGGTTGAGTGCAGCGCTTCATATTGCTATCAATTTTAATTACCTACTGCAATATGTTATTATCAAGTTTCATTTTAATTTACGCTCTTTGCTCTCAAAGGATTATCTAGCATAGCGGTTTGTATAAATACACAGCAAAAGTAGATAAAACTGTAAAATTCAACTTTATCACAAAACAATTAAGTGTTTATTCTTAACAAACAGACTTTTGTGTCACTAGCACTTTGTTGTTGACTTCTTTTGTAGTTATTGGGGAGATGACGAGCAGCATGGCTCTACCGCACTTAAATTCCAATCATTAATGATGCAACGATACCGAAGTTGAAACATTTATTTGTTACTTACAAGAGATAATCTAAAAAAAAAATCCTTTTCAATCACAGACATAAACAGTAGATTACAAAAAATCTCACACGTATTGTTTGCTGCACTAATTATATAAGGGGCCTACAGTATACTGATTACAATTATTACAATTTTAATGAACTTTCTAATCCATACAGGCGTCGATACGCCGAAGTGATGAACAACTGGAAGTAATAACGGAATTAATAGATTTATTGTGACGGACCGTGATACATTGTTGATTTGTACTCTCTCTAAGGAAACTGATGTTACGTAGCAACCTATTTAAACGTCTAATAAAGCTTTTTTTATTATAAATATTAATAATTTAGGGATTTTGGGAGAGCCATGCTTTGGCACGAATAGGTCGGCTCGACTGGCATGATATGGCATGGCATGATGGCGTTTCGCCGTGTGAGTTAGGTTACCGGAGGCCCAATCCTTCCTCTCCCCCAATCCCTTAATCCCCAAAATCCTTATCCCTGAATCCCCTAAAAGGTCGGCAACGCACTCGTAACTCTTTTGCTATTACTGGTGTCCATGGGCGGCGCTGATTGCTTACTATCAGGTAATCCGTCTGCTTATTATATTATAAATGAAATAGTTTTAAAAGAAAATCTAAGACAAAAGTCGCATAGCCCTAAATAGTTTTTTTCAGAGCGAGATATGAGATGTATTTTTGAGTAAGTAAGAAATCTACTTAATTGCAGATGACAAGCCACCTGATCCTCATAAAACTGGACGTCTATATATGAAAAAATGAATCCAAATTAAATTACGCGTGCACGGCAAGACTACTTTCTACAATTTTATTACATGCAGTGTAAGAAGAAGGTATTTCGAGTAATACAATTTTATAAAATTTGAACCCTTCTCACTTGCAAAACTCATAACTGATAATGAAGTATTTCGACATCCATGTATAGTTTTAAAATCAATAACAACGTTTGTAACTATTTTTTTTTTATCTAACAAGAAATTAATAACACCTTAAAATTGTCAATACATAGATGGTTGGCAGTCAACAACAGCGAAAATTAAGCGCAGTTATCGTGAAAATTTCTACTTCGAACAGTGAAACTGATCATTTTAATTATTCGTCAGCGGTATTTCCGAAACAATGTAAACTTCAAAACTTCTAGAAATTCGCATATTTTTTCTTAAAAAGCCGCGGGTACGCGACTTCTCTGGTGTAGCAGGTGGTACTGATGACTTCCCATCAGGAGATCCGTCTGCTCGTTTGCCTCCTATTCCATAAAAGCAACCTAGACTACTACTTACTTTCCCAACTTGACTTCTTTTTAGCCTTGATTCACCTATTTTAATCTCAATCCTATTTAAATCCAACATGATTACTGCTGATTATAGTATTTCTGTCATTAGGAAATTCGTAAGAATTTTGAGGACAGCAAAAAATTTAAACAATACTTAAAGAGACAATTTTAAAAGGTCTCAATAACCTAAGTTTTGTGGTCATGCTCGTGACAATGTTGTATGAGGAGACCAATATGTTATGTACGAGTAAATACATAGTAATTATATGCAAAATTGACAACGATGACACTTGATTAACATATAATTATCTGCAAGATTGATATGCTTCAGATGTTCTGATAAATCGATGCACAACAGACCTAATACATCAACTTGTCATCATTTTCTTTCAGTATTTTCACTTAGGAACACTGGAATTCCTTAGTCCGAAGCGCATTCATTAAATCCGATAATAAATTAGTAGTGCGTCACCGAACTTCGCGCTTCAACGATCTGCGTTGATTTATTGAATAAAAACGATAAGAAAATGAAACTTTGTTTTTGGCTAGAATAATCATGTCCATTCAATTGTTTTTTGTACTTTCATACTGATCTAAGATGCAATAAGATAAATGATTGTTATTGTGTATTGGAATTGGTAATAATTGTTTGAACGTTGCCATCATCGTCGTATTTGCATAAATCTAGTCCAATAAATAATCTAATTAAAATGTATTTTTGTGCTTCGATATCCTATGCCGATTGTATGTTATTTTTATGCGTTTAACGCATTTAACATGAATCATTTTCAAATGACAGCATTACCAAAATGTTTAAAAGAAACAGCAAATTTATTATTATTTTTATTTATTTATAAAAATATTTTACAATCTTAAACGTAGAATTAGTTGAAGGCAGTGTTTCCGCGTTTCGATTTTTATGAGTATTACCGTTACAATATATATAACTAGTTACTAATGCATAAACAAACAGTTATTAACAAAGTATTATTATAGTATTATTGCGACTGTAAGTACGTAGTACTCGTTTGGTATCACAATTTATGGCAACTTATTTTTAATACCTGATCGCACCAAAATTTATTGTTGTTTAATGAACTCAGTAATTACAATTCGAAGTAAATTCAAATAAAACTGTAATTTATTCTGGCAATTTAGTATTTGTTAATGTATAATTTGCCAATTTAATGTCGATAATGAAATATTACCAGTGACCACTAACAAATTACGTTTATGAGTAAGCAGTTGCAATTCCAATTTCGTATAAATTAATACTTTTTCCACAAGAAAAATTACACTTGCACGAGTTGGGATTGCAACTACAAACGATAAAGCGTATAACAAAAATAATATCACTTTTTGATTAGGATGCGTCAGGATTTTACTTCGCTAAGCTAAATTAAAATACGAATGGTACCAATGGTCGGTCGTAGAAATAGCCCTTGTCTTCGACGAATGGCGGTCGAGTCGTGTATGGTCTTCTCGTCGTGGGAGGAGGAATGTAGACTGGAGCCCTCGTGGTTTGAGGAGGGATATATACAGGGGGCGCTCGTGTGGTTGAGGGGGGAATGTAGATCGGTGGCCGAGTTGTCGCAGGGGGAATATAGACTGGCCGCTTGGTGGTTGGAGGTGGAATGTAAACTGGTGCTCTGGTTGTTGGGGGCGGTATGTACACTGGTGCTCTCGTCGTTGGAGGTGGAATGTACACAGGCGCTCTTGTGGTTGGAGGAGGAATATAGATCGGCGGCCGTGTGGTACTGGGTGGCAGGTAAATAGGTGGTCGGGTCTGTGGTCTCGCCGTCGTTGGGAAAGTAAACGGAACTTTAGGTGTCGGGTAATCGTAACCAGTTGTCTTGAAGGGTGGTGGAGTCACTGGAGGTGGTGGCCTAGTCGGGGGTGGTGGTGGAGGCGGTGGTGGCCTGGTCGGTGGTGGTGGTGGTGGTGGTGGTGGTCTAGTTGGAGGTGGTGGAGGGGGTGGAGGTCTAGTTGGAGGTGGAGTTGGAGGCCTTGTAGGGGGTGGAGGAGGCAAGTATGTAGAAGGCGCCCTCGTGGGTGGTGGAGGTGGTGGCCTTGTTGGTGGAGGAGTTGGAGGCCTTGTTGGCGGTGGAGGTGGCAGATATGTTGAAGGAGTTCTGTACGTCGGAGGTCTAGTAGGCGGTGGTGTCGGCGGCCTGGTTGGAGGTGGAGGTGGAGGAGGTCTCCTTGTCGTAGTTGGGGGCAGATATGTTACTGGAGGAAACGTTCTACGGGTAGTTGGCTGCGTTACTGGAGGAATGTATGGTCTCCTAGTTGTTGTTGGATACGTAAAAGGTACTTGTGGGGTCGGATAACTGTATCCCGTCGTTCTGACGGTTGGTGGTCTAGTAGGGGGAGGCGGTGGTGGTGGAGGAGGTCTTCTTGTCGTTGGAGGTGGTGGCGGCCTAGTTGGTGGCGGTGGTGGAGGTGGTGGTGGTCTGGTTGGAGGTGGCGGTGGAGGAGGAGGAGGTCTCCTTGTTGTTGGTGGAGGCGGTGGCCTTGTTGGTGGCGGAGGTGGAGGAGGAGGAGGTCTTGTTGGTGGTGGAAAAGGTATACGTGGAGTTTCGTATATATATCCTGTCGTGCGAGGTCTGGAAGTAGTTGGTGGTGGAGGAGGCGGAGGTGGTGGTCTGGTTGGTGGTGGTGGTGGAGGTGGCGGAGGCCTTGTAGGTGGTGGCGGTGGAGGTGGAGGTGGTCTCCTTGTTGTTGGCGGTGGTGGAGGCCTAGTTGGTGGTGGTGGTGGCGGCGGTGGAGGCCTTGTTGGCGGCGGGAATGGGATACGTGGAGTTTGGTACGTGTATCCTGTAGTTAGTGGTGGTCTAGTTGGTGGTGGAGGTGGAGGTGGTGGTGGCCTGGTTGGTGGAGGTGGTGGCGGCGGAGGAGGTCTCCTTGTTGTTGGTGGTGGTGGAGGCCTTGTTGGGGGTGGTGGAGGCGGTGGTGGTGGCCTGGTTGGCGGTGGCGGCGGAGGGGGAGGAATGTATGGTTTTCTAGTAGTAGGTAAGTCAAAAGGTATGCGCGGTGTATCATAATAGTATCCAGTAGTTTGAGTTATCGGGGGTCTTGTGACTGGCGGAGGTGGTGGCCTAGTTGGCGGTGGTGGTGGTGGTGGAGGGGGCCTAGTTGGTGGTGGCGGCGGTGGTGGCGGCGGCCGGGTTGGTGGCGGCGGCGGCGGCGGTGGTGGCCTGGTCGGAGGCGGCGGCGGCGGTGGCGGGGGGAAGGGGATCTTAGGCTTCGGGTAGAAATAACCGTCCTCATCGAGGTTAGCAGAAATTGGAGATCCAATTACTGCATAGTTTTGATTGGAGCTGAACTGTATCGCTCGCGGCGAACGCTCTGCCTTGCAAGTGTGGTACACTGCAAGCAGCACCACTGCCAGGTGCAGTGACAGCCTCTGAAATAATAGAAAAATAAACATTTAAGTATTGTGTACTTAAGTAACATAACGATTCATAAATCAGTATTTTTATGCAACTGCATGTCTAGATGTATTCATATAATATAGCATAATTTGTTTTAAACATTTTATATGCCTTTTTTCTTTTATCCATAAAAAGTTCTTTTCACGGATTCTGATGATCAATAAGATTTTTTTGAGTTTATGAATACTAAAATCATAGTTCGTGAACAGTTTATAAAACTTTTGTTTTTTCGAGGATAATCTCCCCTCATCGCAGGCGATTTTAATCTTTATGTCAGGGTCGTATGTCATAATATAAGCTTCAAAGCAGTTGACCTGCTGACCACCGTTTGACATCATGCGTACCCATTAATCATTGTATTTATGCAACGAACAATGTCATTAACATTTAGATATCAATAAATTAAATGAGTCTTTACTTGTGTAATCTTAAATTAATTATTTATTTACATTAAAGCATCTAAAAATTATGTGGAATACTCTAGATTTTTTGTGAATTCTCAGTGTGAAAAACATTCAACATTATATAATTTGCTATCGACACGCCCCGGCTTCGCACGGTTGCAAATGCCAATATTAAATAATATGTCCACTCTTAAATGGATGTTATTATACATATAAATCTTCTTCTTCTTCAATCACTTTATTTATTAAAAAACCGTAGCGTATTTAAAGATTTAAGCCTTACATAGGGATATAGAGACACAGGAAACAACTATGTTTTATTACTATGTAGTGATTACTCCTCTTAGAAAATATGTAGGTATTTACATAGCTAGGTTAGTGGAAACTTCCACTTTCATATGGTTGAAACTTTATTACTAATGCATTAACATAAAATATTTCTTCAAGCAAAATCCTATACCTAACATGAAACTTACTGGTCATTGAAAGTATTTGACAAAAAAATAATATACCTCTAAGCTAGTGACTAATTTTAGGTAGGTACATTATTATGTTTGATTTAAAATACAACTTTCCTCAACACATTTTAGGTAGTGTTTCTTTCTCAATTATAGGACACTGTCATAAAACACTTAGCAATGTAGCCTAAAGAAAAACTTTGCGTTGCTATTTTTACAGGCGCTTATATTAAGAAATTCGTAAATAGTGGAAAATAACTTTTTAATACTAAAATGGATTAAATGATTATCATTCGAATGGTATTTACGACTGTTCGTTTATACGTCAATGAAACATATTTCGTTCGAAGAAGCTCAAGGCGTTCCGGTTGGCACTTGTAGAATTCAACTTGTATGTCGTTTGGTCCAAGGTAAAGGCTTTCGTCAACTGCCGTAAAATTTTATGGATTTATTACCAAGTTTTGTTTTAAATTAATCGATTTATTATTCGGGTTGATTTGGTGTTGGGAAATTAAGTAGGCTCTTTGATGCTCGTGTATTCTTAAAATCGAGTAGTGAAGAGACGACAGTATTCTTTTCAAGGTTAAATGACTTATTAAATGTACATTAAGTTTAACATCTTATCATAATGGAATCATTTTATATACAATTATTTTTATTGGTCAGTACAAGTGTTTCTTTACTTGGTACTAATTGATGCAATTTATTTTTACTAACCAATATTACTGGTATATATTTTAAGATCTACATGAGGTAATGTTTAATATCAATCTATACATTTATACATTGATCCTCTTTCAGTTTTTCATCAAAAAATATGTAAATAAAATGGGAGTACTCTTTTTGTAATTACGATTAAAACGATTTTTACTAGATGCGTGTATGCGTGTGTTTGTTGCAGTTAATCTTCGGAATGATATCCTTATAATATAAATAATTGATAGGTTATTTATATTATAAGGAGTTATGTTTAAGCTTAAAAAAAAGCTTTTATTTTTGTCGCGATTGAAGTATAGTACCTATTCCCGCCGTTAGTAGATCTAACTAATTTCTCGCGGACGAAGCAGAAGATGTAAGCTAGTCTAAAAAAAAAAAGAAAGTAACTTTTTTCACTCATGACTATCATGTGTTGTTATATTATAGATGGTTATACGAATAGTTACAACATTAGTATGTAAATCCAGACAATTCTGGTACACCAACTTTTCGGTATTAATCAACAACATTCATTTTATTTCGGTCATATAATGCCGCAAAATGCCTTAAATAAAAATATTGAGACCCAAATAATCATATTTTACAATAGGTATTAGTTAAAAATGAATAATTATCTCAATTCAACGCCTCAACCTTGTGACTTGTACTACACAATGACATTGATGAAGCGTTTTGTCACAAACAATGATTTAATTAAGTCAACATAGTCGTCTTCATAGTGTTTTTGTTGGTTGATTGGTTATTATGCGTAATGATCACTTGGCCTTCATTTTATTCGCTAACTTATAACGTCCAGGTAATTGTAGAATTGCGAATTTATATAATTTTATTAATGTCCTATGTACTTCTCTCTGTCTGTTAAACAAATATATTTTTTTTATGTAACTACAAGGGCAGGTACATTACTCAAGGTAGCTTGGGATATAAGCAGAAAAAAATACGCTGGTCAAATTCCACTAGGTAGGTACACCATTTAACTGGCTTGTTAAACTTTTATAAGACTGAGGGTAGGTCGATACCTTGCCGGGGTTACGGGGTAAGCGCAATGTGGCACCACGGCCTTGGCCTAAAACAGGAGAAGGAACGGGGGGGGGGGGGGTTTTAGTCAGTAAGAGTCCGAGAGTCAGACACTCTCTTTCGCCTTATCCTATGCGGGAAAAGTCATTTGATGATTTTCCACTGACAAATCAAATCAAATCAAAATCATTTATTCCAAATAAACCATAAATAGGTACTTTTGAAACGTCAAAATAGAATAGTAGTCTGTCAGTCTGTTCGTCAGTGAAGCTAGGTGCTCGTTCCAAATTGTAGTTTCGAATGGAGAAGAACGAGCAAGAAACTCCATCGTTACTCTTTTAAAAAAAATATTTGTTTTACAATTCATAAATAATACATTTTTTATACATTACTGTACCCCTATGTGAGAACAATGCAGAGACAAGTTGTTAATAAAAAGGAACAAATGATGGTCTATCTATCATTAAAATTTTAATCCTTTGTTGTCTCGAACATGGTGCTCACATATGCGTACTCACAATCCAAAAGAATGCTTCTATATAAACTCATTCAAGGTTTCATTAATTTTGAGAATTTCAATAACTAATGACTACATATTTGAGTATTGTCCAGTGGAGCCGAACCAACATGATGCCAGGCATTCTTGTCCTCAATATAATCTGAAAGTTTGTAGTATGCCTGTCTACATAATTCGCGTTTAATATAAGTTTTAAATTTTCGTTCATTAAGATTTAACACACTTCTTGGAATTTTATTGTAACAATTTACACAGAACCCCATAAAGGATTTCTGTACTTTGGACAGACGGAATCGTGGCACAGCCAGCCTATCTTTGCCTCTTGTATTAAAATTATGTCTATCGCTTCTTTTTTCAAATAATTGCAAATTTTTCCTTACGTACATAATGTTTTCATATATAAACTGACAAGGTACCGTTAGGATATTTATCGTTTTAAATAGTTCTCTCAGAGATTCACGAGGGGGCAAGTTATATATCGCTCGGATAGCCCGCTTTTGCAAAATAAATATTGAATCTACTTCCGCAGCTCGACCCCACAGCAAAATTCCGTACGACATAATGCTGTGAAAATAGCTAAAATAAACAAGCCTTGCTGTGTTCACGTCTGTGAGCTGTCTAATCTGTCTAACTGCAAAAACAGCTGAGCTCAGTCTTCCCGAAAGCGTCTTTATGTGGGAACCCCATTGAAGTTTATTGTCTAGCGTAATACCTAGGAACATAGTCTCGTTAACAAATTCTAACTTTTGCCCATTTAAAATTATGTCACAATCATTACTGTGTACGTTGGGCAAGCTAAATTTAATACATTTTGTTTTTGACAAAAAAGGGTATATCCATACCTATCTAAGCATATCTGCATTCAAATTCGGCAGTTCATTCAAGTATCAAAAACATCAATAGTTTTGATCTCGTGTGGGATGATAATTACTCTTTCCAGTATAAACAATTGTTTGGCGTTGTAATAGAAGTCGTAAAATTAATTGTATGCTAATACTCTAATAGTCGATGGTAAAGATAAAGCGATAGATTTTGTATTGATTGTGGATTTGTGCATTTTGATTTACGATAATGTAATCTAATGTAGGTATACACGAGTATGGCGCGTAGCGAGCACCATAACGCTAATGTTCAGCTGGAGTTGAGGGTTAGGTACTGTAAGGTACCGTCTTTTGCCTGGAGAAAGAGAAGGATCGGGGTGGTTTTCAGTCAGTAAGAGAAGACGAGTATGATTTTAACCCATCAAGTTGAATATATCAATTGTATTAGTTAGGTATATATATTATTATTTATGTTCTAGTATAGAATGTTATGTTATTATTTGAAACCCATCTGTATACCAAATTCATTCAGTTCCGTTTAGAAGAAACTTGAAAGAGTAACAAACAAATAATAGTCATCCATCCGTCCATATCTGATACGTTGATAATTTTTGATTGAGAAAAATGCTATACTACTGCTGTTTACGACCTTAGATTTGAATAGTTCCTAATGCAAAACCGATGTATAATGGTCTTAACATGTTTTAATAATGTGTATTCTAGCACTTTATCTCCATTAAGTTTACCTGCTAATATGAGACAAACTAAGTATTAATATTACAGAAATCCGATAGCAATCGCAGGCCTAATAAGAATTGTAGATAATCTGTTCACCTTTGAAAATCACGTTGGTTTTACTTGTAACTTAAATTATTTTGTGTTATATTCATAGTTTTGTAGGAACAAGACAGTTTTTGAGTAATTAAAATAAAGTACCGTCCTGAATATAGGGTCATTTTTAAGTACAGTGAAAGTTTCAAACCGTTGTTTTGACGTAAAACGATTAGAAGTGCAATCAACATGTCAAAAAGTAGAACC